GGTGATGGGCCATAATAATCAACCACATTGTATATCGACAAAATAAAAATTCAAAAAAAAATAAATGGGCTATGCATTTTATTATCTGGAAGAGGAATGGGACACTTTCAAAATACCTATAAATGATTAGCAAAATTTCCATATAGAATTGGAATTTCCACCAAGAAGGACAATAGATGTTAATAGCTTCAGTCCAATTGCTCAATTTAAGTGCAGCTACCACATGACTAACTTGGAGTAATTGGGGAGGGGGCCAGTTTAAATTGAGTAAGTGTTTGAACTACAGAATACTCTCCTGTAAGTAAAAGATGTATTCTATACATCCTAGTCTGGCAGAAGTCCTGCTTTCATGAGTAGAGAGGGGAGTCTGCATTGGCACACCAAAGCCCCAACTTGAGACCCTTCAGGATGTATTTTATTTGTCCTCTTAAACAATCCTCAAGAAGTGCTATGTATGCTATGGACTGGCTTAATAAATCTCTTCTATATCTGCCATAATCTTCCAACTAGCCACCAGGAATTGGGCTGTCATACAACCCAAATGGATGGTATTCTGGTGTGTTTAAAATTAAGGGGATTAAAAAGCAAAGTGCATAATAAGAATGTCAAGATTAATCCTTAAAGTCATGTTAGTCTTCCTTTGAAGAAGTTGTCTTCTGTAACATCCAATGGGTCAGAATAAACTTGCCAAATGGTCAAAGGACCTGAAAATAAATTCGTGACACTGAGGCCAACCCAGAACCTATTGGCTGTACATAGTAGGATTGTTTCATCACTTTTACTAGTTTCTCCCAGTGTAATTAAAGCCCCTTTAAACTGAATTCCTAATATGACCAGCAGCACATTGCCAGGACTGTGAAGCTGCTTCAAGATGCAATTAGAGTGAGGCCAAGTCAAGGGGACATCAGGAGTTATCAGAAGATGTGGGTGATCCCTTGAGAATGGGCAATTGCCATCATACATTACACTTCTCATGTCTTTTGCAACAGGGAGGAACATTTTAATGACCTCAGCTGCCATTTGTGTGTGTACCTAAATTTACATGTTATAACCTGGTGTATATTCATGCCTACAAATCACACTTGAAAGAAAACTGCTGATGTCAACTTTATGCTGACATTAAACAGTGGGAAATTTTGTAAAGAATTTCAGACCTTTCTCTGCACTCAGTTTTTTCTTTGTAGAATCTATGTACAGGGCATTTTCCTTACATTTATTATGTTTTATGATCCACATAGCTTATGAGAGAAAAAGGAAGTCAATAGGGTAGATATTTTTTTCCTTTCAAACCAAAAGCCAGATTTGGATTTTTTTTTCCTTCTTCAAATAATTTCTTTATAGTTTTTAAAAACCAGACTCTGATGCTGACATTTTTAGTCTTATGGAGCCCACCCTTTTCTCTCTTTAGTTCCATCCTGTTCCTTCATGTTCTGTGGTATCAATCCCAGCTCCTAATTATTAGTCTTCCATTTAGCCACAAGACGTAAATTTGCTAACTGAAAAGGCGTGCTCTGACAGTTAATCTCGATGTACGTCCAAAGGCTGAGCTCTCTGCACTGGAAAACTTCCCTGGGGGATTGCTCTGTAGAATGTGGGGCCATTTGTTGAGCTGTCTGATGTGGAAGGAGAGAAAATGAAAGGACCCTCCAAAGGGAAGCGGGATCATACAGTGCTTTTGAGAGCAAAGAGTGAAATCAAAGGACGATTTCCGGTCCACTCCAGTTTCCCATCACATGATTGGAAACTAGAGCATCAGGGATATTTTCTTATTAGTATTTTTAGAGAAGTCACTGAGAGAGAGAGCTCTCAAACAGAGGGTTATGGTCACAGGCTGTGTTCAGAAATTACCACCAACCCAGAACCCTTCTTCTGTCTGTGTCTGAGACTCACAAGTTCTTCAAGGACCTATAAAAATGTTTAGAACCAGAAGAAAATAAAAATACATTGACATTGACTCCAAAATTCAAAAAGGTGTCTACAAAATTCAAGATTGTTAAATGTTTAATTGAACGTCTACAAAATATTTAATACCTTATTAAGTATTAAATTTAGTCTCCTTTAAAATGACATCATATACGAAAACAAATCATAGATTTTTCTCACTTTCCAAGATTTGAGTATGGCGATTGTAAATTAACGAATTGCACATAGCCGATAATTTGAAATACAAAATTGAAAGAATCCTTTCCATTTTTTTACACAAAAATGTATATTTCATGTGGGATGTAGGGCATCTTAACATTCTTTATAATGTGTGGAGTGGGACCTAAAGTAGAGTCTAGAGCTCATGAAGGTTTTAAAACAGCTCTGTACTGTGTACTCTTCTCCAAGTGTGTGATTATTCCTGAAGACAATGATCCGCTCAGACTCTGGGGAGGACTGGAAGGCAAGACGTGGGAAGGATCCCAGCTCGTTCTGGCTGTGGCACCTGTAGTTGAGGTGGAGTGATAAAGGCAGTGGTCTAAGCATGAGGGAATTCACAAGGCACTTATACAACATTGGAAAGATCACAGGGTGGTGCCCCAATTCTGTTGAAGAAAAAGAGTTTATATTGAGTTAGGGAGCTAAGCCATGCAGCTGGGTCGTGTTGGTAGAATTGCACTGTTTCCTTGTCTGAGTTGTGTTCTCTCCCAACAGATGCCCAGACCCTCATGTGCTCTTGTGTTCTAATCAGCCTTTCCCAACTTGACAGAGATTTCCATGTTTAGAATAGAAAACTTGTGGTGGGGACAAGAGAAAAGGTGGATTGTGTGAACTCCATGTGTGATCATCCTCGTCTTTAATTCAGTGGCCTAACTTCCTCAGACTTTCATTCACCGCACGTGGGGCAGTGATGCTGACTCCCTCCAAAACATAGGGAAAATGACACTTCCTTGCAATCCCGCCCCCAGCAATAACCACTAATAACAGTGCTATAATTCTTGCAGAATTTTTTTCCTTACATGTACTAAAGTATTATTAATTTATTTTCTTTTATGAGATGAGACCATAAGTAAGGTTTTTAATTTTTTTTTTCACTTAACAATATATCTTAGACATTTTTCCATGTCAGCACATGTGAATTTACCCCATTCGTTTTAATGATCACATGGTATTCCAACTGCATGACTGGGACATAATTGATTTAATTGCCCTCTGTTGCTGGGCATTTGGGTTGGCCATTCAACTTTGACCTTTCAGGAGAATATGTCATGTGCCTAAAAAAACTATTATATATTGACTAGAGATATGCACCTTTAACCCCCTGTTTTGGCTTAACTCAATCCAGGAGCAGAAAGAACCAAATCTTTCCTGATGCTTGTTATTAAATGTAAACCCTATATGTGATTTGTCATTTATTTATTTCTTTGTCTTTTGTTTTTGCCTTTTCCTCTTATGCAGTCATCTGCAACCAGGGACAAGGATGAACCGGCTCTACCGGTAGGAAGCAGTGGCCTTGTCTATGCCTGTTCATGTGCCTGTGGGGAATGTGGGGGCAGGGGTGGGAAGAAGAGGATCTTGTATGCTCAACAAACCATCCCCTCCCTTGGAATACTTAAATGGTTGAATACACTGGTGTGTATGTATACTCTGTTCTACTAGTAGTGACAACTAAATTCTGACATTCTCTGACCAATTATTTCTGGGATGAGGTTTCAAAAGTTTGAATTCTTGCTTCTATTTGACATGAACTTCTATAAGAGTTCAAAGAATAAGATACTTCCAAATTACATTCCAGGGGACATTGAGCCGATATTTAGGGACAGTGTGGGATCCAATGTTCTTCTATTTGACATGAACTTCTATAAGAGTTCAAAGAATAAGATATTTCCAAATTACATTCCAGGGGACATTGAGCCGATATTTAGGGACAGTGTGGGATCCAATGTTTGATATCTGTTTTCTTTGTGTATCTGCATGCACATACTTTCTGATTGGAAATTTCTTTTGGTCCTATCAAAAGAAATGCTGCATGAGACCTCTATATTCAACATATAGATAATGCTTGAAGTTCTTCTGTAGATACAATCCTATTCTAATGAGGATCGCCACAGCATACTTCTTCCAGTTTCTCAGAATAAGGACCATAGTAATAGTGCTTATGACAAATTCTTAACAACAAACACATTTTCCAGATCCTATCTAATTAACACATCACATTTTATATAGTACAGCAAGGTAAGGAAATGACGTTCTGAGTTTTTGTGTTCAGCCATCAAAAAGTGATTATATTTTAACAGTGATTTACATTTTGACATTTCTAATCAAGTCTCCTAGCCTTACTCCTAAAATTTTTTGAACCTTTTAAAAAAATTTTTATTATTTATTATTAGCATATTCATTATTACAAATTGTAATTATTTTGAACCTTAATCATGCATTTGGGTTGGCCATTCAACTTTGACCTTTCAGGAGAATATGTCATGTGCCTAAAAAAACTATTATATATTGACTAGAGATATGCACCTTTAACCCCCTGTTTTGGCTTAACTCAATCCAGGAGCAGAAAGAACCAAATCTTTCCTGATGCTTGTTATTAAATGTAAACCCTATATGTGATTTGTCATTTATTTATTTCTTTGTCTTTTGTTTTTGCCTTTTCCTCTTATGCAGTCATCTGCAACCAGGGACAAGGATGAACCGGCTCTACCGGTAGGAAGCAGTGGCCTTGTCTATGCCTGTTCATGTGCCTGTGGGGAATGTGGGGGCAGGGGTGGGAAGAAGAGGATCTTGTATGCTCAACAAACCATCCCCTCCCTTGGAATACTTAAATGGTTGAATACACTGGTGTGTATGTATACTCTGTTCTACTAGTAGTGACAACTAAATTCTGACATTCTCTGACCAATTATTTCTGGGATGAGGTTTCAAAAGTTTGAATTCTTGTTTCTATTTGACATGAACTTCTATAAGAGTTCAAAGAATAAGATATTTCCAAATTACATTCCAGGGGACATTGAGCCGATATTTAGGGACAGTGTGGGATCCAATGTTTGATATCTGTTTTCTTTGTGTATCTGCATGCACATACTTTCTGATTGGAAATTTCTTTTGGTCCTATCAAAAGAAATGCTGCATGAGACCTAGCAATAGTTTGGAAACACAGCCTAAATTAATCAAGTTAACCAGTTAGTTATACACTTAGTGTTCGAATATATATCTTGAAATTCTAAAGGGGAGTTGATCTAGTATGTAGCTTTCTCCAAATGTATTTGATCATGAAGTTTCTTGTAAGGCTTTCCCTGGTATATCTGGAGTGTGATAGAATATTTTGGAAAACACTGTGATGTAGAGGGTTGGAAGACATAGTGGAAAATAATATTTTGTTTTTACCTGACCCCAGAAAATTTCGTGTCAAGCATTTGGACCAACAGTTCAGTAAGAAATTAATTCCCTTACATTACAATACTTTCTTCTCCTTAAGTCTGACTATCTACAGAGATTGGCTGCCTCTGGGCATCTCTCCCTGTGATAACCAGCACAAAATCAATCAAGGGGAAGAAAGCAATTTCTATTCAGGATAAAAGTCTGTTAAAATGCAGAGGATTTGGTTTTTTGGGTGTTGGGGGGTTTTGTTAGATTGTTTGCTTTTGAAGATAAAAGAAAAAGGTAATCGGTAAACTTATCTCTAGAAACTCATTCTTTTTCTCTCACCTATCAGTTCCATTTATTTGACCAAAGGATCACAAGTACTAGGACTTTGTACAAAAGAAACCCCCTCAAAGTCAGGAGGCTTCTCCATGGATTTACCATAGGAGTCTCTGTCTCTTCGAATCTCACTTAAGAAAGACCATGGTGCTGTCTCGATCAGAGCTGTGGTCCCCAGAGTAGAGATGAGATATCCCAGGAGATGTACAAGATGATGCTTTAAGGAGCAAGGAAAAAATATTAGTAACTCCATAATTTACTTTCCATGTTATTCTTAACTTCTATTTTTTGTATGCTCATATTTTAGTATATATGTCTATACAGATATGGATATAGATGTAGTTATAGGTATAGGTACATCTATACACACTCAAGAATTTTACCGATAGAACACACAATCTAAAAATTTTAGAGACCACGCACTAGGTTAGACAACAATCTTTGAGAAAAGTGGACCTGAGATCCACTCCTCTGTCCTCCACTTTTTGTCTGTGACTTGGACACCTTACTTCACTTCTCCGAGGCTACATTTCTTCATCTAGCTAAGGGGAATAATAACAGTATCTGCTTCACAGTGTTCATTTGGAAAAGGAGATAAATGAATGGATGTGAAGCAAATAGCACATTGCCTGGCATGTACTATGCTCTAAAACAGTGGATGCAATTAATTCATTCAGTAGGAAAGGATGTGAGAAAGCCATTCTCTCAAAGGGTTCAAAATGTATTTTGAAAATCTTTGGCTCAACAGTGCGTGATCATGTGAGAGAAATGTGACCACGAGACTAGGTGAGGATCTCGCCTAAAATGCACTTGCCTTTTATTTCTGAGAACTAACAGCATCTTTGGTTTCTCTGCTCAGGCTAAGCCGCGTCTCCAGCGAGGTGGAAGCTCTGCCTCCCTCCACAACAGTCTCATGAGGAACAGCATCTTCCAGCTCATGATACACACCCTTGACCCACTCGCCGAAGGTAAACATCAGGCTTTGGTCTGGGAGTTTGTTTGAGGGAAAAGAGGATGTCAAGAGACTTCTCTTCGTGAACACGTTTATGCTATTGTCACACAACATTCTCTTGTTTAGCAGCTGCAGAGGAAGCCCTGCCCTTTGACACGCTTTATCTGCAACAGCTCGGGTCATGATCTGTGGTCTTTGTACCAGGAGTAGGATGTGAGGACCGTGTGCTGATTCTATCTTTTGATGCCTTTGGCATAAATGAGGCAAAGAGGACAAAAAGGTTTTCCTCCCTTCCAGCAAGTGTGACAGTTCTCTTTTATCATCCTTTCTAAATTTCAAAATAAAGGTGTGTGTGAGGATAAATTGTGCACCTTAAAAAAGCAAGAGAAAAGTAACTCCATGATTTAAGAGGGCCGTGAGTAGTTTGGGGAATGATGTTCACAGCTGAACATTGATATTGTAACTGACTCTTTGTCAAGTGAAGGATGGGGGTGAGTGTCTAAGCATCCAGAGAGCCCTCTCTCTAGGGTCTGTCATTGGAAACCCCAAAGACCTGGCTCACCTGTAGGGGTAATCATATGACCCATCACAAAGAATCCAGTATTGTGTCCTTCCAGTTTTACTCAGTCAAAATGAAGCCAAATACAACATGTTTCTTCAATGGCATGTGTCCTCAAAAATTAATTTTCAAGTAGACAGGTATCAGATATCTGATGTGTCAAATAAATATCAGAGTTTTGCCACTAACAAGGGGTTCAAATATAACCAAGTATGTTCTCCCTTCATCCCTGGACCTTATAACTGGGCTTGACGTTATGTGGGAACTAATAGGAATCCTGGGAAGAGTATGGCCTAGGAAACA